AATCAGCATGTGGTCCCCCATCACGTGATACAATCCGATCAAAAAATAGGTGTGGTCCACCTACATGCCTCTCTCTTCCTATCTCTCTCCTCTTTTCTCTCTCTACCATGTGTTTTTATAATATTTTAATCAATGTTATGCATTAGTAAATGCATAACTTTCCTCCATTTCTAGTTCCTCCATAGCTATATACATGGTGCGTTTATTATTTCCATAAAAAGAATATTTTTTTTTTTGAAAAACATAAAAAGAATAATATTATATTGATCACATTTTTTTTCTCAAGGAGTCGTAAAAGTCAAATTGGTAAAAATAATTTGTAATGGAGAAAGTATAAGGATTGTCTAAATCGATACAACAATCTTAAAGTTGTCTGCTTTGCCTATTGCAAATCTTTATATACACTCAAAAAGTGTCTAATGGGAATGTATAAGAATATTCATCAGATTGTTATATTATGATATTTATGAATGCTACGGCTAAGGCACTACTCTATTGCAACTGTAATGTCTCTATGATCATTCATGGGTCACCAAGTGTGGATTGCAAGTCTACAATCAATCTCGCAATGCTTATTTATTTATTTTATTTTATTTTATTTATATATTTAATTAAGAAAAAAATGAAATATTAGAAAACTCTCATCACAAGGGGAAATCCTAATTAATGTAATGAAAAAAAAAAATAGAAACTACACTAGATTTCAAGGAACAATACTTTTCAAACTAAGGCTTTGTTTAATTCACCTTATTTTTACTTATTTTAGAAAAAAAAAAGTACAGATCATATCAGAAAAAATGAGTTCAGATCAGATCATCATTTTATCTGCAGTTTTTTATCGCTAAATATCTATAATTTCGTAATGAAAAAAATTATGAAAATCACATATTTATAAAATGCACATTTTTACGAATCTAGCAAGACCCCCACTGGCTAGATATATTTTTTCCGTATAGATTATCGTATATATAAGGTCAAAGTTTGGTCAAATCTGACATTCAGAACATATCAATCAAAACCAGATCAGATTAACAAAAAATAAGGTGAACCAAACAAGCCCTAAGTGATTGCCAACTTTTGCTATCTAATCTACTGCAATGATGTCGCAACATTAGTTGTTTCAATTTTTCATGTTTTCCATGAATTGAAGAGGAAATTAAACTTTTTATATATGTACACATTATTTATCATTAAAATTTAGACTTTTTTATAATTACAATTGGTAAATTGAAATCTTCATTTATTTTTATTTTTTTTGGATTGAAGTAGAATAACTTAATAATGGTCTTAACCAAACTTATGAATTAATCAAATTTGTCTTTTCTGTTATTTGTTGACTTGTGTTAGTTGTGTATTATTCATCTCATCCTGTATTCTTGTCAACTTACAATAGGGGCTAGCTAGTAGCTACAAGTATATACTGTTCTATATCCCATAAACAAATAGATTAAACATGCAATAAGACAGCGTTACTTCATGATACTCAACCCGTCAACTGCATCATTCCTCATGTACCAAAGACAAACTAATTAAGGTACGTAGTGTTTCTAAACTTGAATTTTAATTATCCGAACGTACCTTTTTTTTTTTAATTCATTTATATTCTATCATATATTAAGTGAAAACTGACAAATGGGATAACATTCAATCAAATGAAAAAGTTACTTTGTAAAGACTATGTTTTACTAGATTATTTTTGTGGATATAACGATCGAATAATTAAGAATACTAATTATAATTTCCTTTTTGCATTGTGGCATGAAGCATGTAATGCACCAATCATATTAAGCCATATGCTAGAATTCTATTAGCTAAAACTTCTTATATGTATGACTTTAATAATTATGACCTTAAATTAAGCATTTCTTATTACAAAGTTTTTTTTTTTTTTTTTAACAAAATAATTTCTTCCAGTAATACAAATAATAATTATCACTCATTATATTCACAAATGAAAAAAATGAAAAAAGAAAGATGGAGTAGTAATTAGTAGTAACTGGCCTGGGACCACGAACCATGTCAAACATATTGCCATATAACGTGGGAACCGATATACTTGGTCCCTCAATTATGCCATAAAAATTATTTTATATAAATTTATACAAAAAAAGAAAAAAAAAAGGTAGTGTGATTGAGTTGCTGATCGAATTAGGCAACTTAGTGGAGAACTACGTACTCAGTACAAGTCCAAGCTAAGCTAAGTAGTGCAATTGCGCACTCTTGCTTAATTGCCTGATTCTTCTCTACTTAGCTTAGCTGTTCAGTACACTTGTCTTGTACTCTCTCCATACATGACATATTCAACAATATACACTGCCCTAATTAAATGTATTTATGGGTTGATAAAAATAATGCACTAAGATACTTGTATAGTGGATTGCATTTCTGTTTATTTTGATTCCATTCAACCATATTTCTAATTCATTTGGATATTAACTTAATCAAGACAATTTATATGTATGCATGCATGTCTTCTAACCAACTACAAGGGTCGTCTCATCTTCACGTACTCTACCAAGGTGTGATATATAGTGAACAATTAGGGTGAAAGTGAAAATGACTTACCTATTTTGTGAGTTGGTACTTCAATATGTCACATTTTGAAATTGTAAATTGAAATATTCTTTTTTTTAAGCCGCATCTCATATATAATCTTGATTGACTATGCACATAAGTTAGACTGTTAGTACAATCACGATAAGCTAATATTTATAACTGGCATGTAGTTAGATTGGACAATGTATTCTAGTTAATAAGTTATACTCCGTAGTTATTAATTGATATTTCAAACCAAGATAATATGGAATATTTGATACTTGATCTGTCTAGAATCAATCAATATAGCGCAGCCTTCACACTTTCCTTTTAAAATTATATTGAATAAATGATTTTTTTTTTTTTTTTTTTTTGGAGGAAGAGTAAATAAATTTCATATAATGAAAAATTTAGTAAGAGACTAAAACTGAACATCTTAATTAGTAAAGTTGAGTGTTACGGAGAGTAGTAATACCAAAAAGTACTTCTATGTAATTAGAAAATTTGCTCTTGGAAAGCCGGCCAATGAATTATTTGAAAATTTTCTATAGATTTTGGATCTCATTATCAACTACAATAATGATGAGTGAAATAGTTGGGTTGACCAAATGGTGTAATAGTTCTATTGGCATGCATGTACTCATGAAGTAATACTATACTCTAAGAACTTGAAATTTTTTGGCAAGTCAATTATAAGTAGAAAATGATTGGATAGAATAAAAGTTGTGTAAGCCATGTATTAAATTAAATATGATCATCTAATATTATTTATAAAATTAAAATATGATCAAATAATTAACAAGAACGTAGCTTAGGGGGGCAAAGAGGAACATCTCAATCGTGGGTCCCCCATCTTACTGTCTCATCTTCTTTCTCAACTTATAGAAAATTTCCACCTGTCTATCTATGTCAGCAAATAAATAGTAAAATAAATAAATAAATTAGATTATTACAACTAGTTAAGATGAACAAGTAGTGGGGCAACTAGTAGAGTGATCTTGAAAGAGATTTGTGAGAGCAAGTACGAGCAAGTAAGTGGCATGAGTGTCCACTGAATCTAATTAACCTAATTAATATTCCCTTAATTATTATTAGTATTATTTTAGCAATTTGCCCTTTTTCCTTCTTAAGTCACCATTACAAGAAATTATGAATTGATAATTTATATTCAATAGTTTGGAGATTATATGAAGAGTTGAGTAATTAATACATACTGTAATACTCTGTAATGAAATTTATAAAATTGTTACAAAGATTTTTAGCTAATAGTCTTCAACTTTAATTAGCTTATTTTAAAACAACATGCTTTAACCCTTAATCTTGTATAACTTCATGTAGAATAATTTCAAAGAAAATCAAGTTAAATAAATAAAGCCATAATACGGAGTATTATGCCACCACATGTTTTTAAGCACCCAAAAATAAATAAAAATCGAAAGAGTCTCCAAACAAATTAAAAACTTTGTCGAACCGGTGTGTGGCCGCCTCAGATCAACTTGTTCGGTTGTCACAAGCCCCGATCGACCTTTAATCCCCGAATCCACTCTATATATCATCAATAGATAAGAGTACACGTAGGCTTTGTTCTCTCGCTTGTGTTGCTATTTGCTCACAAGCCCTTTCTACACTTGCTTGGCCAGCACCCTTGTAAACGCGAGCTCAACGCATGCATTTGGTGTCATGCATTTGGTGTCAAAACACTCATGCTGAGAGTTATAATTCACAGTAACATGAAATCAAATTCTAAGCAAAATTAGTACACAACATTGATTATTTTGAGGTTTTTTTTTATCAACTTATCTTGGTAGACCCAGTCTTGGTCTCTGTTAGACGACTTAGACCCAAACGGCCAAACCCTAGTCCCCTGAGCACAAAAACCTAGATCTATTGGGTCTTCAGACTCTAAATAATGAATCAGAGTAAGTGAGTAACCACTAACCAGTCTAGTTCAAGTTTTTTTCTTGGACCAATTGACATCTGTAAATTTTTTATTTTTTTTTATAAAAAAAATAAAAATTGACATCCCTAATCTAGAGGAAAATATTAGTACTAAATTGCGTAGATGCATACCCAACTTATGTGCCATTAAATCACCCCAATTTTTAGGGAAAAAAGAATAAGTGGAGATGAGCTTTTTGAGACAGAAACTGGATTTTATAGCTTTGTCTTCTTTCAAATTTTCAGTTTCAGACTTTCAGGTGTAACAAAATAACAAGCTAACAGCTATGTCAGCAAAAAAACAATCTCCAAATCATGGGTTCATGGTGCAATTAACCTGAAAAATGAGCAAACATATTATAGCAAAGCAAAGGATACACAACACCAGCAAGTATACAGGTGATAACTAACTGTACATGCGCTACCTAATAAATTTACATCAATATTCATATCTGCCTAATGGAATTCACTAGTACTAAAAGACTAATGACAAAATGTTATAGTCAGGTTCACTAATTGATTAAAGCTTAATCAAGTTCTATAATATCGATCTTGGAGCAACCACTGCTAGCCTTAGCAGAACCATCCTCCTGATGGTGCATCTGTGTGATCAAAGCCTCGCATATGCTTTTAAACTTTTCTATTTTCTCCTCCAACTTAACAGCTTCAGCAAGCAAATAGTTCCACTCCAGCCACTGGGTTATTTTCTCAATGGCGTTAACTAATTTTCTTTTATCCTTGTTATTCATCTTCTTTCCACTACTGCTTAAGGTTCCCTTTACCTCGTATACATAATTTTCCAATTTGTTCTTAAGTAAGGCTGCCTTCTTACGCTCCTCATCGTCAACCTTGTACTTTTGGGCAGTCTTCTTCATCTTGTCAATCGACTACTTTGATAACCTCCCACTATGATTGGTAATGGTGATTTGGTTCTTGTTGTTGGTGCCAACAAGCTCTGCAGACACTGTTAAGATGCCATCAATATCGATGTTAAACCAGACATCAATCTGAGGGACGCCTTGAGGTGCTGGAGGAATGTTATGCAGGGAAAATACATGTGGGTCTCTCACCCTTCAAATATCGGAAAATCTACCATTAAGTGGTTGTCAAACGCAGTAGTAACTTTGCCGACCATCATTGTTGGGACAGGTGTATTCCGGGGAATTATTACTTGCATTTCATCAGAGTATAATTGAATACCAAGGGACAAAGGTGTAACATCCATAAGCACAGGGTTCTTATTTAAATTTATACCAACCAAGATTGCAGCATGGAATGCAGCTCCACATGCCACGGCCTCATCCGGGTTAATACTTTTACAAAGCTCCTTTCCATAAAAAAAACTCTTGCAATAGTTGCTGAATCTTTGGTATTCGAGTTGATCCACCCACAAGAACAACATCATGAATTTCACTCTTTTCCATCTTGGCATCTCTCAAACACATTTGAACAGGTAACATACAATCTTGGAACAATTCCTTGTTCATCTTTTCAAATCGTGCACGAGTTATGCTACAAGAGAAATCTACTGCCTCAAAAAGGCAATCAACCTCAATAGTAGTCTCAGTAATTGAAGAGAGGAGTCACTAAGACTTCTCACAAGCAGGTCTTAGCCTTCCAACAGCCCTGCGATTGGCACTTATATCTTTGTTGTGTTTCCTCTCAAACTCGGCAATGAAATGACTCAATAATCTATTGTCAAAATCTCTTCCACCAAGGTGGGTATCACCACTTACTTCGAAAACACCCTTCTTGATTGCGACCAAAGAGACATCAAAAGTTCCACCACCAAGGTCAAAAACCAAAATATTCTTTGTTGCACCATTGCTAGTACATTGCCTATCAAGACAATAAGCAATGGCAGCTGCTGTTGGCTCGTTAATAATCCTCATAACATTCAGGCCAGCAATAACACCAGCATCTTTAGTTGCTTGTCGTTGGGCATCATTAAAGTAGGCAGGAATGGTAACAACAACATTCTTAACTTCTGAACCAAGATATGTCTCTAATATCTGTTTCATCTTGATGAGAAGCATTGACGATATCTCCTCTAGAGCAAATTGCTTCTCTTCACCCTTGTAAGTAACTACAATTACAATCTTCTTGAAATTATCTCCATCAGCAGTAGGAATCGCTTTAAATGGCCAGAGCTTCATGTCTTTCTGTACCATTTCATCATTGAATCTTCTACCTATAAGCCTCTTTGCATCTAAGACATGAAAAAAGAAAGGTTTTCATTATCATTTCCAAAATCAATCAAATCCCATCATTGTATTCCAATAGTATGCAATTATGATACCAACTGAAAGATATCATCACAAAACTACTAATACAAGTAGCTACGACTTCATAAGGAAAGCATGTTCCCTCTTCACATGTAAGATGCAAACAACACCGAAAAATGTTCAAAATGAGTTTACAGATTTTACATGACACTTGCAAATTATGATTACATATCGCTAACTCAGAAACAAAAATCTGATCACATCTTATATTCAAAAGTTTGGTTTTAAGTAATTCATGACCAAAAGCCAAAGAAGACAACTACTTTAACACTGACTAGAACAAGATATATTCAAAAGTTTGGTTTTAAGTAATTCATGACCAAAAGCCAAAGAAGACAACTACTTTAACACTGACTAGAACAAGACAATTTCTTGAAAACCGGGTAATTCTTTACGGTTTTTGCTAATATAAATGCATTGCCCTGAACATTTAAGTGAGACAATCAACACTACAGAAATAAAATTTCAATATTATACTCACACAACAAGACACTAGCTTCCTAATAAAACTTTTTGTTGTCCCTTAATAAATCTTTGACGAAAATGGTTCCATTTTTAATGATATTACAAAAGAAATACTTCTAAAGTGTTTCCCAAACAATCATTCAAAGTGGAGCAAATAACAAGCCAACCTCATTTCACTAATACATTATAGTATTTTCTATTTCAAAAAACAAGAAATTTATTTTCCGAACATCTCAAAATAGGCTATCTCCATTACTTTTGGACAGAGGGAATAATGATCCTAAACAAGATTCTCAACATATTGTTTGTGCTTGTGCTTATTTCTTAAAATCCGTATTGACCAATTAAAATCAAATCAACCAAATACATTGTTGTTCTGTATGTTAAAATTATACACAATAACAAGTTAATTTTATTTTTTAAGTTACAAAATTTTACTAGCGGTATGATATAGGGTATAAAGAATTGACACAACTCGTCTATAACTTGACATTATTTAATTTTTTCTATTATGGATGTCGTATGACAACATTTCATAAATTAAGTTAATTCAAAGAATTTATATAAACACTAACGCATTTACAACCACAAAACAACAAGGGTTTCCATTCAAAATAAAAGGAATAACATACAATCTCAAAACGTAAAAGCATAGAAGAGAGAGAAAAAGAGAAAAAACGAAAATGGTGTTGGTGGGATTATTTCCGGCCTGGTTGGTGGCAGCCTCGCCAATGAAACGCTGCGTTTCGTTAAACGCCACCCAAGACGGCGTCGTACGGTTGCCTAATTCATTGGTGATTATCTCAACGCAGTCTTGCAATGGGGACCATGCTCCCACGCATGTGTAAGTGGTTCCGAGATCGATTCCTATTGTCGGTCATAATTTTGCCTTTCTTCCTCCGTTCATCGTCTACTACTCTACTCAAACTCTCAAAGTACACTACTTTTTTTTCCAGGGCTTTTACCCAACTTCTGTTTGAAATAGTGGGACAATGAGTTTTCCTGGAAAATAAAGTGGGAAAATGAGAATATCTAGTATCTTTGTTTAAAATTGTAATTAAATTCCTAAAAAAAAAATTGTAATTAACTAGTATTGTACCCGTGCAATGCACGATTTACTAAAAATCATTATTTTTATCTCGCATAAAACCTTAAATGAATAGAATATAATTTTTTAACGGGTAAATTAATTGAATATTAGAATAACAATTAATTTGTATAAATTAGTACATTAATCATAAATTATCTTCAATGTTAATTATAATAAATCAAGATACGAACCTCTTAGAAGGATAAAATTAAATGATGTATGGACAATACTTATTAAAACAATTTTTAACTCTTATGTTTAAAGGATTCAAATTAAATGCAACAACTTAAACTTATAATGTTTTTTTAGGTGTGGTCAGCCACACTGTGTGACAAGCTGACACACACTAAAACACTGACCGAGTAACCCTTAACCGATCAAATAACCCTTCACCAACTCAGTACCTCCTGACCAACCGATCGAGTAATCCTTGAATGACCAAGTAGCCCATGATCAAGTTACGCCTAACTGGCTAAATAATCCCTAACCAAGTTACGTCTAATTGACCGAGTAGCCCAAACCAAAAAAAACCCTGGGCACCTCGTGTTGTGAACCACATATAAAAATGTGTGTTTAACTTAATATCTAGTACAATAGTTTTGTCCTAATTCACCAAGGTATCTATACCCAGTTATACGCAATCACCCGCGTATCACCTATTATGCCTGTACAATCCTTGTCCCTGCAATTTATTTCCAAGATATTTATATCTACTTATAATACATGCAATGTCTCATCACCTCCTTAGTCCATATTTGATCAATAACTTTTGAATTGAAAATATAATTTTTCAAAATCTTTCAATTTTTTATATATAAAAAAAATAATACATTAACACAAAATAATAGTTATTAGTACCCTTAAAAAAACAGCTCAGTTTGTTAAAGTTTCTGTCCTATTTTTAGGGGATCCTATGATCAATTTTCATCACATGTCCTTGTGATTATCTAAACAACAAAAATTACATAATAGTAAAAATGTAATAAATTTTTTTAAAAAATACTACAATATAACTATGGACTTCAATTTTAATATCAATACATCTATTTACATTGTGATCGATTATTGTTTAATGCAATTTCATATATTGAAAACTAACATTACCATCAAATACATACTTAAACAATCTATGTAAAAGCATATGTGGCCTTAGAGCTAAACGAATAAAAATAACAAAAATTACTTGAGAACAATTTAATTATGTGTAATTTTTTTTTCCAAAAAGGGAATGTGTTGTATGTAAATAATAAAATTTAATATTGTACTCTCAAATAAATTGTATAAACAAATCACAAATATGTATATTAGTTAACTTTATAAACTATCAGTTATGGGTAATCAAATACTAAGAAAAGTTTCCTAAAAAAATACTAAGAAAAGAAATTATTATTTAGTAAAAAGTTTGAGATCTTTTTCTCATTATTATATCTTATTTATATATATATATATTTTCTAACATGTTTCCATGAGCACACATTAAAAAAGAATTCCTAATAAATATTTGATAATAAAGAATATTTGCAAGTTTAAAAAAAGAAAGGTCTAATATATCATATGGAAAATAATAATGTCTTCATTATTTCCTCTATTACAAGATTTACCACTTTTTTCCAAATATTTCTCTATTTATTTTATTGAACTTCTTAATATTTTATTAAACTTCATTCTTAATATAAAAAATTCCTTCAAATTAATTTAAATCATCCAACCACCTAAAATATGCAACACATTATATAAAGTGGAAAGCTCATTTGCTTAAAAAAATCGTGTAATATGCATATTGTGGCTTATTACGTTATTTATTTTTTTTCTTTTAGAAATAAAGATTGATAGGTGTAGGGAATATTTTCAAGCCTTTAAAATCCCACTAGCTTGAACCCCACTGTGATCATACACTAAAGTGTGGTGGCGTCCAAAAGGGAAGAAGATAGAGCAAAAGAGTCGCCAACAAGTTTTTAAGGAACTTGTAAACCGTTCACGAGGTGAAGGTTACACCCCTTAACGATCCAAGAGATCGTCAACTCCATAAGGTCATGAACCAAATAAGGGTCCGGGGATGATGGTACAAATCCAACCTAAAAGAGATTGAACCTGCCCTAATAATAGGCCTCTACTTTATTCTGCTCGTATTCATGTGCGCTTTCTGACTAACATACAATCAATAGATTAACCCTAAACCTGTTTAATCTATGTTGGTTGAATTTAATGCACATATAAACTATTATTGGACATCACTTGAATTATAATCACAATTAACCTAACAAGATTATTAATTATCTTATTAAGCGTGATTGCAAATACCAATTCCCTTTAACCTGCAATAAAAGGTGATCAAGCAATAACAATATAAAATAATATGCATATCAAGCAACATAATAAATAATCATAATAAATCAGAATCATAAACATTAGAAAGAACATAGGAAGCATCATACTTTAAATCATACTTAATATTAAAGATACCCTAGACATGATACTAGGAATCAAAATAACGATCTAAGCATGATATCTACATCATAAAATCAATTAAACCATTAAAGTACTTACTTGGATGCCTCGTACCTCTTTCTAATTACAAAATACACACGTTAGTAACTTCAAGGAAAAATAATAATCAAAACAATTAAATTATTGAAAGAGAGATTTGGGACCAAACCCTCAGAAATTAAAAACCTTTCACGTCTAGGGCGAAGGCAACTTCGAATATGGCTAGGTGTATCGAGATCTTGTGAATGCGGAATTTTCTATTAAAGAGTAAAGTTTAGAAAGAATGTTAAAAGATTAATGATTCATAAAGTAATTGTTGACGATTGATGATTGTGGATGATGAATGAAAACGGAGTTTATTAAAACTTAAGAATAAAAGAATTGGTGAATGATAGATGTAGATGATGAATAAATATTGATAATCCGTGAATGAAAACGGAGTTTTTGATACGATATTTATAGAGAAAAACATCCAAAAAAGATAATTTATCAAAACAGAGTCTGAAGATCGAAAAACCAACTTGGCGCCAGCCCTGGCTCATTGGCGCCAGGACCAGTGGCTAGCGCCAGGCGCCAATGGCTGGCGTCTGGCGCCAATCCTGGTTCCAGGCGCCAAGGCCTGGGGTTGGACGCCAAACCGGATTTTAACGCGTTTTCGAAAATCCGATAATTTTACCGTACTGGAAGATAAAATAATATAATTTCAGTCGAAAATGCTATTTGATCTAATTAAAACTCTGAAGAATCCTAACTGAATTAAGAATGATAAAACCTTCTAGAATGTTCTAGAACACCAAAACCATTCCTAATTACATTAGGAATGATAAATCAAATTAGGCCCTCC